ACTTTTACAGAACTCTAGTGCTTCTGACCACACTCCGGTCTCAAGGCATGTAATAGTAGGTGACATTCCTGGGTGTTTTGCATATCCAGGGTGGCAAGTGTATTGCACAGTCTTCCCCACAGAAAAATCAATCTCATTTTTATGCTCCTCCTTTAGCTCAGCAAAGTGTAACCTTGTAGGAGGCCCACAACCACCTATTGAGAAAGAAAACAGACATGAGAATCAGGCAGGACAAGCACAGAAAGAACACTGTTCTGAGGAAAGCTCTTTCGTTTGCCTTGCAGAATGGATTCTTTGGATTAATATAGCCATTACTAAGCAAACACAACATAGTTTCCCAGAGGATTCCGGAGGATCAGATTCTTCTTATCAGGATATAGATAAATCTTCCACTCACAGGTTTAACCACCCTTTTTTGAGAGGTTTAGGGGATATAAAATAGCAGCGTACCCTGAGGCAGCTGTGTCACGATTTACCTGAAAGTCCAGGCCTCTTTGAGAGCCCTTGGTCATGGTAAAGTCTACCACAGATGGGAACAGGAGGGTGCCAGCTGCCATCCTCCTGGCAGATGACTTTAGCACTGCCTTGCAGGCTGTAACCATCGTGACACTGAAATGTCACCGCTTGCCCGGGTGCGGAGAGAAGCCCTTGACCATCCACTTGCCTCCCGTTCCGTATATAGGGATGTACACAGACAGCAGCTGGAAGCGGTGATGTGCAGAAGTGAAGTGCAACACGAGTTGGAACAAAAGAAAGAAAGAACCCACAGGCTGTTAATATTGTAATGACAAAACCAATGTCACCTCTATAAACCTCCCCGCCCCACCTCCGCAATAGAAGGGATGGAAATTAGTTTATACCATGCACCACTGTCTATGGGATTAACCTTCTCTGAGAAACTGGTTTCAGTGGTCAGGGTCTGCTGTCCCCCCCATCTGAGGAGACAGACCATAAACCCACCTTCACAGCGAGGGCCGGGCTGGCTCCAGTTCCCTGATGCTTTGCAGAACACAATGGCGTTTCCAACCAGGTAGTAACCAGGATCACACGTGTATGTTACAGACATTCCCATGGTAAAAAACGATTTGTCTTGGCCGTTGTGACTTCCGTTGGGGGTCTCTGGAGGCATGGGGCATGGCTGGACTGCAACAGGGAGACAGAAAGCCTTAACTCAGTGAGAGAGCCGCGTGCAAGGGAAGGGAGTCACTACAGAGATAGGTTAAAGCCCATAGCAGGAACGGCTCTGCCTGCACACGCTACTCCTGCCTGCAAGGAGCATCTACAGGCAGGGCCACCAGCAGGCACCCACACTCACCCCTCTCACAGCGGAGCACTGGAGGATCCCAGGTGCCCCCAGGCTGGCACCGAGCCTCGTAGCTGTCCTCTGCAGCGTAACCAGCAATGCAGTCAAAATGCAGCGACTCCCCAGCTCTGTAGGTGCTCTGCAGCTCATAGACCTTCCCGTTCTGCACCTCGGGCATCTCACAGCCGATTGCTGTGGGGAACATGGACAGCAACCTTCAAACCTCAATGCATGGGCCAGATGCTGCACACACAGCCCGCTCCCTTCTCATCACTGCTGCAAGCCTGCATTGTTCCTACAACCAGAACATCCAGCATCCTTTCCTCCAGCCCCACACCTTGCAGTGCATCCTCCACGCACCTTCACAGCGGGGCAGGGGCCAGCTCCACATCCCAGCCTCTGTGCAGCTGATGGACACATTCCCAACTGGAGCGTAGCCGTCCTGGCAGCTGTAGTGCACGGTCACTCCGCGGGGAAACCTGTCCAAGGACTGTCCACTGTGCAGCCCGTTGGCGATGTTCGGTGGCCGAGGACACGTCACCTCTGGAGAGGGAGGGGAAAGCCCATGAGAGTTGTCTGGGAGAGGTGACACCAGAGAAAGAGCACAACTGAAACCTCCTGCACATCAGGCATGGGGAAGGGCAGAGGGCTCACACCCCAGGTCTGTCTGACAGACCAGTTGTGGGTGCCCTGTCTCTCCTCTGGCTTTTCTGGAGAGCGAGTGTTGAATGGATTCATAAACATCCGTCTCGTCTCCCCCAAAGGCTGTGTCACTTCCCATGCCCGTGCCTGGTCCCCAGCATCATTACTGGCTCTGCCTGGGTGTGCTGCAGCCAGAGCACCGGGAGGAGGGTGCTGGCCTAGAGACCCTTTTGTACTTGGTCTCACATTAAGGGATGTGCCAGTTCTTGAAGATTCACTGAGGATTCCCCACCAGCCACCTCCAGCATGAGGCGCAGCACATGCAGCCACAGAGATACCGAGCTCGGGATTCACGGATGTAAGCGTGTTCTTCACATATAATTAAACCTCATACTTCATTAAAGGGGAATTTAATCCCCACTGAAGGTCTCAGGGGCAATGGCCAGGGTGTACCCTGTGCTCAGAGCCACGCTCTAAGCTTCTTGCCGAGGGGGACAGATCACAAACCCACCTTCACAGCGAGGGCCAGGCTGGCTCCAGTTCCCTGATGCTTTGCAGAACACAATGGCGTTTCCAACCAGGTAGTAGCCAGGATCACACGTGTATGTTACAGACATTCCCATGGTAAAAAACGATTTGTCTTGGCCGTTGTGATTTCCATGTGGGATCTCTGGAGGCATGGGGCACGGCTGGACTGCAACAGGGAGACAGAAAGCCTTAACTCAGTGAGAGAGCAGCGTGCAAGGGAAGGGAGTCACTACGGAGATCGGTTAAAGCCCATAGCAGGAACGGCTCTGCCTGCACACGCTGCTCCTGCCTGCAAGGAGCATCTACAGGCAGGGCCACCAGCAGGCACCCACACTCACCCCTCTCACAGCGGAGCACTGGAGGATCCCAGGTGCCCCCAGGCTGGCACCGAGCCTCGTAGCTGTCCTCTGCAGCGTAACCAGCAATGCAGTCAAAATGCAGCGACTCCCCAGCTCTGTAGGTGCTCTGCAGCTCATAGACCTTCCCGTTCTGCACCTCGGGCATCTCACAGCCGATTGCTGTGGGGAACATGGACAGCAACCTTCAAACCTCAATGCATGGGCCAGATGCTGCATGCACAGCCCGCTCCCTTCTCATCACTGCTGCAAGCCTGCACTGTTCCTACAACCAGAACATCCAGCATCCTTTCCTCCAGCCCCACACCTTGCAGTGCATCCTCCACGCACCTTCACAGCGGGGCAGGGGCCAGCTCCACATCCCAGCCTCTGTGCAGCTGATGGACACATTCCCAACTGGAGCGTAGCCGTCCTGGCAGCTGTAGTGCACGGTCACTCCGCGGGGAAACCTGTCCAAGGACTGTCCACTGTGCAGCCCGTTGGCGATGTTCGGTGGCCGAGGACACGTCACCTCTGGAGAGGGAAAAGAAATTGCCCTTTGGGTCAGCTCTTTGCCTTTCTGTGTGCTACTAAGAATGTTAGGGTAATAACTGGAATTCTTCTTTGCCATCCCCATGTCCCTCCCCATCTCCTTTGCTCCGAGCTGTTTCTGCCCCTCCAGAGCCAACCTGCAGCACTTTGGTTTGAGCAGACAAGTGAAGAGAACAGATACATCCTGGCTTTGCTTTCCCACTGCATTTGAGAGGACACAAGAGGGAACCTTCCCCTCGGCTCTGCCGCATTGGGACACTTACCCTTTCTGCACAGCGGCAGAGGCGGGCTCCATCTGGAGTCAGCTCGGCACACGCTGCTGCGCGAGCCGTGCAGGGTGTAGCCGATGTTGCACGTGAAGCTCACGGTGTCCCCCGTCCTGTAGAAATACCGGGTAATGGGTATTCTCCTCCCATGCTGGATGTGTGGGAACGGGCACTGGGCACCTGGAAAAGGGAGAGAAATCAAATGTCTTTTACCTGCACAGCCCTTAAGCTGTTCCTGCTGCGCTGGTTGCTGTGTTGATGGTGTCCATGCAGCTTGGTGATCCCTGAGCAATGGGATGTGGTGGAGGCTGCTGCTGGGGCTGCAGGACCCCTCCATGCACTGCTAGAGAACCTCAATGCTTCCTCTGTTCACAAAAGCCAGATGTCCAGCATTTCACATCAATCGCCTGGTGAGGCCAAGAGCCTTTCATGGCCTTTCTGCGTGCTTCTAGCTCATGAGCTGGGAAGCACATCCCCTGGGTCTGATCTGACTGGAAAACATTGGCAGGACTATCCAGGAGCAACCTAACTGCAGTGAAGGGCTCTGTGCATGCAAGAGGCAGCAGGGATGCACAGTGCACCACTGTGATGATGCAGGGATGGACCCAACCAGTGAGAGCAAAGCCTCAGAGGTACAGACCTGCCGTCCCCCTTACCTTGAGCCCCAGGTGCGGTGGCCAGGAGCAGAGCAGAGATGCCCAGGAGGTGGAAAGCGGAGGCAAGCACCATGCTCCAGTCCCTGGCGCAGACCGCGGCTCTCAGGGGGCTGCAGGAAGATATGAGCACCCCAGTTCCCTCCTCATGCGGAAGGAGCCACAGCTGTGGGGCTTCCCAGGGATGCGGGATGGGAACCAGTGGGCTTCTGGGCATCACCGCTGGGGAGGCTGCAGGTCCCACAAGCTGCTTATGCTGCTGTTTAGGGCCAGGGAGGATGGGCCCCTGGGACAGAGGGTGGGTGCAGCACAGAGGTGCTGATAGCTGCACTGTGCCTGCAGCAGGGAGCATCCTCGGGTAGGGGAAGTGGGGCAGAGCCTGGGTCATGTCCCCAGGTGGTGACTGCAGCTGAATGGGCACAGCTTGTCTGCCCCAGGATGGGAAAGACAGAGCAGGACATTCCCACCTGCTGCCTGCATGGGACTGGGGCCACGCTCACACACCACCCTGCAGGCATGGACCCAGATCCTCCTGGCCTGACCTGGCTGCTCTAGGACTCATCCTAGTCTCATCAGCATCATCCCATGCTGCTGGATGGAAGAATAAAAACCCATAGACAGGACTTTCTGACATAGAAGCTGTCGCAGCAACCTCCATCTCCCCACCTGGTACCGCAGAGGATGCTCTCTAAGCCTAATGAAGCAGCAAGACACACATTACTCCAGTCTTTTTGTCCCTTTTATTGACAGGGAGCTTCCTATATTTACATAGCCAACATCTATATGCAGATTCTAAAGTAAAATTATGTACAACTCAATTATAAACACAGTAGATAAGCTCTCTTCAACAGTAAATGTTGGTGATGAGACCCGTAAGCTATGTCACAGCATTCACAGTTCCTTCCATGTGGTTACAGGGAGATCATTTCAAGCTGATCCCCAAATCAGGTATTAAATCATTTGGAAAAACCACTTGGGACTATATGCAGGAGGAACAATTGTGTTGGGATTAGAATACCAAAACAGAACCACACGCTAAGCTATGAGGCTTTACATTGTGTTTTGTTCACCTCATCACTCACACAGCTTATGGGAAGAGACAGATAAAAATAAGCAGGAATCTGCTTGTTCTGCAAGACTGGCTTCTGAAAACAGGATCTCAGCGAGAGCTGACCAGGACAGTGCTCTGCTGGGAAGGGAGAACTTTGTGGGGCCATTTAGAACAAGACAAACGTGTTGCTGGAAACAGACACTTGAGTTTTTTCCCCCCTCTCATTTGATGTTAACAAATTAACAGGAAATCAAGGGTGAAAATGCAGAAGCAAAAAAAGATGCAGTAGACACATTTCAAACACTTCCTGCTCCCAACCACGCATCACGAGAAGCTCAGACGGGTTATTCACCTTCTGCATCAGACAAAACCCCAAACCTCAGTCTTGCTTTACCAGCAGCTGAAAGTCCTGGCATCTCCAGCTGGATTTGTTTAACAGGTTTAAACTGATCACAGTTTTGTTTCCCTAATAAGCAGCATTCCCAGGACACATTCAAACCTTTATTTCAGTTTATATGATGCTACGTACCTCTTTAGCTTACTAAGAGATCACTTAGCAGGGCCAAGTTAATGGCAAGGACACCAGCACCACACAGTAGGCTTTCACCAATCAAATAAATCAAGGGCACTTTTGCACATCTTTGGTTTAGGCAAGGTGAGTTGGGCCCCGTTATCCAAGTTGTCCTCATGGCACTGCCAAAGCCTTGCTCAAGTTAGGGATGGGACAGCTTCCACACTCGCCTCCATCCACCTTTGCAAACCATCCTGAACACAACGATCAACTAAGGTCAGGTAAAACAGGATGAAAACAAAGCACACAAAAGACATGGGGTTTGTGTCCCACTGGAGTAAATTAAGGCTTTGGCTTGATGTGCCTCTGTGCCTACCTGGGGTACAGCATCATAGCAGTCCCGAGGCACCCTGGGGCTCAGACAGCATTGTCGGGGTGCACAGCACCACCTGAAAAAGCCTTTTCAGTGCAAACTCAGCATTGATTCAGTGCAAACTCAGCAGCATCCCCCCATCAGCCACCCCAGGCAGGTGATTTGTGAGGAGAAGTGAACAGATTCACATGCAGCAGTTTCCTGGTGCTGGGTGGCATCTGCCAAGACATCTGCAAGTTCCACATTCAGCACAGATACCTCAAGCCCATGGATGAGCTCTACTGCCCCTGAGCATCCCCTCTCTGTGTCCTTCATGGGGCTTGCAGCCCACTTAAAGCTTCAGGAAAGCATAAAGCCAGTGCAGAGACAGGGTGTTTGTGTGAGGTACTTGCAGAAGAGCCTCAACATGATACGAAGACAGTGCCAGGGCAGAGCTATTCAGCTGTAGTTTAAAGTTAACTCGAGCAAACAGTGAGAACAGTAGCTCTTTGTAATATGGCATTTAAATTGTTTTCTCTCTAGTTAAGTTACTGATCCGTAAGAATTGCTATTTCACAACGGTTCAGACTCACCTTGAACCGCTGCCTATGCATGAACATTTTCAATGCCTTCAGTACTCACAGACTGAAGCATCCTCTTTGTATCAAACCATTTTTTAAGGGTGCATCACTCAAATGAAGACATTCACTGTTAATCCTCACGGCAGCACTCTCCACCTCAGAAAACCCCAAATCCTGACCAGGACCAGGCACAAAGTGACCTTCACGGGGCTGAGAAACTGAACATGAAGTGAAGGGTTTTCTTGAGCCTACTCTACTGCAGCGTGAAGGTCTTAGGCATCACTGCAGCTTCACACAGGGATAATGCACTTGATTCCTGACCAGCATTCCCAGCCTCCCAGCCCGGCACACAAGTTGCTTTGTCCTTCAAGGTCTGTTGGCTGCTTCTTTGAGACGAGTTTCACAGGAGGGACAAGGGGAGCACTGGGATCGGCGTGATCAGGTCCAACACAGCTTTAGGTGCCTCCTGCTGTGCCCGTTCCCTAATCTAGATGTCCATAATGAGCATTGCCAGCAGGAGGGGGAAGATTCCTACAAGAGACAGATAAGAAGCTTCAGTTTCATTATACATTCAGCTCTCTTTTCCCTCTGTACCCTTTTGCCTCCCCTTCCCGTTTTCACAGCATGATCTTAAAGCAGCAACATACATATGACAACAGACAAAGAGAAAGCTTTTAAGTCTATTCCAAACAGAACACCCAGGAGACAACAACAAAAGATGGGCAGGAGCACAGTACAGGGGTGCAGGAATGTGTATGACTTACCAGCAATGATCATGCTCGCTCCACCTGGAAGGGAAGCAAACCAAAACGTGAAACTCAGCATGCAGTCAGCACAGTAACACATCAAACTACCCAGGAGGCTCAAATCTGAACCAATGCACGTGGAAGACAATTCAAGCAACACGTGGAATGGGACCCCGAACACCTCCATGGATGTTCACCTGTTAAACCCCAGATGTATTTACTAGGATACATTTCCAATATGTGAGTCTGTGCCACAATCTGTGTTCTTTTGGCAGTAGATTTTAACTGAAGCTGTTTCAGGAAGAACCAAAGACTTACTACTTGGTAGAATTATGTGATTTGAGGATTCAGAGAGGAAGGAGAAAAATAGAAGACAAAGAGGCAACAAGACAGACATAGAGATTGTCACCTCTGCATTGAGGAGCCGGCTTGTTCCAGTCTCCCCAGGATTTATCTCCTGCAATGCACTGAAGAAAGGCTGCTCCAGCAAGGGTGAAGCCCTCCTTGCATTTATAAGCTACAACGGTGCCATGAGAAAAGTCCATTCCCTTTGTGCCATTGTGCATCCCATTCTCAATCCTGGGGGGCTCTTCACAGAGAGCACTGGGGAGCAGTCCTGCAGGAGGAACATCAGCAGGAGTTGGGCTTGTTCAGCCTGGAGAAGAGCAGATGGCTGCCCCATCCCTGGCAGTGCTCAAGGCCAGGCTGGACAGGGCTTGGAGCAGCCTGCTCTAGTGGAAGGTGTCCCTGTCCATGGCCGGAGGTTGGAACTGGATGAGCTTTAGGGTCCCTTCCAAAACAAACCAGTCTGGGATTCTATGACTCTAAGTGTGTTGGAGCACTTCTCCTAACTGGAAAGGTTAGGAGGTGCATGGGGGAGGAGGTACAGCCAAAAGCAGAGATTGAAAATACTTCAGGCTTTCTTGCTTGGTACTGCACGTTAGACTCAAATCAACCTTCCCATGTTGGGCAGCTCATTGGGCAAGGACAGAGCAGGAGAGGGGTGAGGAACAAAGTCAAAAGAATGAGAAGAGAAAGAAAGCATTTACCTTTGCATTCAGGGGCTGGACCACTCCACTGTCCCTTCAGGTCTTCATCCACTGTACAGTGAATCGTGGCATCTCCAATAAGAGCAAACCCCTCATTACAGCTGTAGGTTACGGCCATGCCAAAGGTGAAGTCTCTGTTCCCATTGTTGAACTGCCCATTCTTGATAGGAGGAGGTGGTGAACAGGGAATAACTGCATGGAAAAGCAACAAGAACATTTCCATCAAATATGAAACTGAGGTCTAGCTACTAAACCCAAGGCCTCACTGCACAAATTACTCTTGAAATCCTGAATTTTACAGTGGATTAAATTAAGAAGCACCAGTAAGAGCAGCCCAAGCCCAGCATCAAGGCAGCTACACCAGTGCAGCTCCAATTACTCTCTTAATGGCTCTGTGAAGGGTTTTCCCCTCTTACTTTCACAGTATGGAGGTGTTGTATCCCAGTCGACTCCTTTTCCCGATACCACACATTTGGCGTAAGGTGACTTCTTTAATTTGTACCTAAAGAAAGAGAAGTTCAGTACTTTCCAGACAACAACCCAGGAAGAGGCTTCCCCACTCTCCAACACTGCATGAAGTTCTTAACCAGAGGTTGTCCTTGCTAAGAAATAGGATCTGGCCATCTCAAAGACACTCAATAAGGGCACGAGTAAGAGATGAGCTGAAGCAGTTCAGGGCTTTACCAAGCACACGCCTGTTACCAGATGCTCCACTCACTGAAGACATAATATATGGTTTTACTGGGGAACAGCACTGGGAAACCAGAGAGGGGAGAGGGTGGATATTACTGCCTGTGCTCCCTGACTTCTGACCCCCCGCTGGTCCCCTTTAAGCAGTGATGCACTCACCCTGGATGGCAGGTGAATGTCACCACTGTCTCAAACAGGACATCGGCTGCACTGAAATTCCCGTTCTCTATTGTGGGAGGAGCACATTGCTGCCCTAGAGAAAAAGGAAACAGCACAGGAATGACTTCAAACCCAAGACAGCATGACCCAGATTTCAGAACAGCATCTCAGGCTTGTACAGACCACTCACACTGTCAAAAGGAGAGGAAGAGAGATACTCACGTATGCAGAAGTCCACATCTGCAGACCAAGTTCCATCGTGCAGACAAGTGACAACAGAGGACTTCCCACTTGCTGCAGTATAACCTGGCTTGCACTGATACTTCAGCTCAGTTCCAGCAACAAAGCCCTCAGCCACAGCACTTGTTAACTCAGCAAAAGGGAAGTGTGGAGCAGGACCACAGTGGACTAACAAGTGGAGACAAAAGCAAGGTTAGTTACAGAAGAGTACCCAAAGGGTCTGCAACAACAGCAGTGAACTGCATGCTTGGAGCACACAACGCCTTAATTTGTTTAAATCTCAGTGTCTGGGATACAGTTTGCACCCAACCTGTTAGCAAACAGCAGCATACATCACAGTTTGCTTAACTGGAGGTAAGTTAACATGCAGATAGGGAGCAGCTCTGCCTCAGAGGCGCTCCTTTGCTGACCAGCAACCCAGCCTGCAGCACTGTGATTCAGCTGAGCTTGGAAGCCAAACCCCCGCTCCAGCAGGTCTGGAAGTGGTGAAACAAGTCTGTCAGGTGTAGAAGCAGATTTTGTTCAGCCGGGAGAAAAGAAGGCCTTAGAGCAGCTCCCAGTGCTTAGGACCCAAGCCTGCATGCCCTGCAAGGGCATGGCTACAAGTGCACAAGGGTCAGAAGCTCTTAGACCTAATTCACTGCAATTGCTCTAGGAAATAAATTTGCTTGGACTCACATGGGTCACACGTTGGCAGAGGCGGCTCCCATGTACTGTCTGCTTCACATGTAACTACACTGCTACCATTCAAGAAGTGACCAGGACTGCACTCAAAGGTCACTGTATCTTTATACACATGCCTAGTGCCGAAGCCAGATAACCTTCTCCCATTTCTCACTTCTGGATTTTCACATCTGACCACTGAAAGCGAAGGGAAGACAACAAGAGTATGTGTTAGAAGAAGGAAAAGCCCTGCAGTGACACCAGAGATACTGCGCAAGCAGCTTCCTAAGAGCACTGCTGTCCCTTCACTTTGAGGGAGGCAGGTCCCCAGCGGGAACGAGTACTCCATGAACAGAGATGTCATTTAGGGACTGCATACACGACAGCTTTGCTTCTCATTTGCAGGAAGCCCTGGCCATGGGCAGGGAGAGGGAGGTTGCCTGTGGGCTGAAGCATCCATTAAACCAAGCTCTGCCTCTAATCACTGTATTAAACTCCCTGGGAATCCTTTTAGACTCAAATCAACCTTTTCATGTTTGGGAGCTCATTGGGCAAGTACAGAGCAGGAGAGGGATGAGAAACAAAGTCAAAAGAATGAGGAGAGAAAGAGCATTTACCTTTGCATTCAGGGGCTGGACCACTCCATTGTCCCTCCTTGTTTTCATCAGCTGTACAGTGAATTGTGGCATCTCCAATAAGAGCAAACCCCTCATTACAGCTGTAGGTTACAGCCATGCCAAAGGTGAAGTCTCTGTTCCCATTGTTGAGCTGCCCATTAATGATAGGAGGAGGTGGTGAACAGGGAATAACTGCATGGAAAAGAAAGAACAGGGTCAGAACAGCAGCAAACTACCTGCGGCTGCTGGCCCCTGTATTCAATTTGCTCAGCTCCACTGAGAATGCTTGTTTGGGGGAGAGATAAGGAGTCAGTCTCATTAAAGGCTAATGGAATTTGCATTAGGAACCACGAAGAAACCATCCACCTGCCATTCCCAAACTACCAGTTATATTGTAATAGCCTCCAGGAAGAGATGTACATAAAACATTGAAGATCTGCTTACTGGCACAGTATGGAAACTCATCCCAAGTAACTTCATTGCCTTTAAGGACACATTGCGCAGACGGTGCCCCAAATAATCGGTACCTAAGAAAAGAAAAGGTTGAGTCTCTTTGGAAAAACTTGGGAAATTCAGAAAGTTACAGTTTTAACAAGATTATCTGGAGAAGCAGAACCCTCAGGAACAGGCCCCAGCTATTAAAAAGCTCTGAGTCCCTCATAGGTGCTGTCTGTAAGCATCATCTCCCCAGGATCCCAAGCCAACACTTACCCAGTGTTACAAGTGTAGGTTATTGTGGCCCCAAACAGGAGATTTGTTGTATACTCAAAGTTCCCATTCATGATGTCCGGTGGTCCACACGACTTCCCTGGAAGGGCAAGTGGTCAGCATTATATGTTACACACATATTATATATATGATAATGAAACAGGTGACAGTGCTGCTCACACACAAATAGAAAGGAAATAAAAGCAGAGATAAAGCTAAGGGCAAATAAAAATCCAAGACACATAGTGAGAAAGGAAACTGGCAAGAGCGCAGTGGTCTTAGGGCAGAGGCCTTGGTCCAAAGGGAAGCAGAAGGGGATAGGTACTGACCCCAGGGGTAGTAAAGATGCGTTACCAGGAGGGCATCAGACTCCCATGACCTTTTCCACGCCATCCCTTGTTTCTGTGCAAATCTACTATAGCTTTTACGCTATATCACCGGGTGGTAAAGTCATTAAGAAGGGCAGAGATCATCTCCCAGAGATTAAAGTTTCTAAGGAGGTGGGCACTTGTTCTCCACTGCCCTAAACCCGGTAACCCAGAGCATCCTTCGCAACTGTCTGGGATGCAGCAGGGATCCCTCCCCCCAGACCCAGAGCCCGCAAGGGGTGAACCCACCGATGCAGAAGTCGGGGTCCACCGACCAGCTGGAATTGGAGCCACAGGTGACTACCGGGGCCTTGCCCCCGGCCATCGTGTACCCCGGGCGGCATCTGTACCTCAGCGCGGTCCCCACGGTGTAGGGCTCCTGCGGGGCCGCTGCGGGCTCCGCGAAGACAAACCGCGGCGGCTGCGGGCAGTCCCCTGCTTGCAGAGAGGATGATGGAGGGGGGGGTCTCGCCTCAGCCCTTCCCCGCACACCCACGGCCCCGGCCCCAGCCCCACGCCTCCCAGACCCCCTTCTCGCGGTCCTGGCTCCCCGCTCACCGCAGGCTCCGGGCAGCACCAGCAGCACCGCACAGAAGCAGCGCAGCTCCATGGCCGGGAGCCAGCCGCCCTCCGCCGCGCACCGGAACGGCCCTTTCCGGGCCGGGAGGGGCCCGGCCAGAGCCGGATCTCGTCACGGCTGTAGCACAATTAGCGGGGAAGGTTCCGGCTGCGGAGGGAGGGGGGGGTTTGGCTCTGCTGAGCCCCGCGGGGCGATGGCTCCCACGCCGCGGCCGCTTTCTCCCGTCTTGGTGTGAAATGACCCCGCTTAACGCCCGGGAAGCGGCCAGGCGCTGGGGTTCAGGTCTGCCCCCGACTCCCCCCGGCGCTGAAGGAGGGTTGTTCTGACCTTGGAGCTCATTAACCCAGCGCACATCCTGCCCGTCCCACGATCTGCCTTAAGTGATGCCGAAAGGCGCGGAAGTGTTTGCGCTGGGAGGTGCTCAGCAAGAGAGCAGATCGAGGCCACCCCCGGTCCTCCCGTCGAGGGCACTTGTCGGTCACCATGTGTTGCACCGTGCCCACATCTCGTCATTGCACCTCTCCCTCAACCAGCTGAGGTTTAGGGAGCGCTGGAGGCACCCGGTTCGAAGGGATGGTCGAAAAGGGATGTCCTTAGTGGCATGTGTTAGTGGTGGACTTGGCAGTCCTGGGGTAATAATCGGGCTTGGATCATTTTAAAGGCTTTTTCGAGCCTGGTTGATTCTATGATTCCATTGCCTCTCCTCCTCACAGTAGTATCGGGTTTGCAGCCTCTAGCACAAGCCCATGGAAGTCTGCTGCATCCTGGTTTGATGTCAAACACAACAGCAGGATCAGTAACTGCACCTTTCAGTCCTACCCATAGCAGTGTCTTTTGCCAGAACACCAATAAATTCAGTCTCTTGGCAAGCACCAACAAAGCAGAAGGGTGATTTTTACAGCTTCTGTACCATCACTGTTAGTTTTGTCCCCAAAAGGAGTACAAGGAGTACAGACCAACAGGGAGCAGCTGCAGAGACCAACAGCTGCAGCTGCAGCCTGGTGTTTTGGGTGTGGGAATACTTGGGGTTGGGCAAGGGAAGGATGCACCTGGAGAGAAGCTCTCCCCTCCCCTGCCATTGCCCAGTACTGACACGGGCTCTGCTCCAGCAGCAACCCCTGATTCCTAGGACAGGCTGGGCACCAGGACAACACTGCAGCACAACAGCAGCAATTACCTGATTCCATCTGGCAAAGAAGGAGACTGCAGAAGCCTTTAAAGTGCTCTATGAGAATGTTTGATTAGTCAATATGGCAAAAACCCAACCCCCAGGATATTGCTTCTTTTATATTAGGTATAAAATGTTCCAGATATTCCTTTATTTACAGAACAGTTTTACTGTAAATACAGCCATTTCACACTTGTATCTGCACTCTAGTGAAGAAAACTCAGTTACAAAGTGATTAAAAAATATAACTAAATCTTGCAAGATTGTGTAATGAGGGTGTTTGCTATGAAAATATTTTCCTAGTGGAATGAAACTGGATTTTTCAAGCCTTACTTCAAAAGCTGTAAAAATAAGGTTTTTTTTTTTCATACTAAAGCAAACAAAAAGGTACTTAATAACCAACGTGGTGCTGGATTTGCCAGGAATTTTGATTTTCCTGCTTTTCCACAAAGGAATTCTTCATGGTGAAGTCACACACTTGACTTCAGGTCACCTTTATTGCACTCCGAACTTCATCCCGACAGCGTCAGGAGTTAGTGTAGCAACCATCCCCTCCCTCCAGCCAGCTTTGTGGTGCTCAGGGTGCTCCAACCACCGGCAATTAGCCTGCAATAGGGAAGTGAGTGGTTAATCTGGGTTAGTCGGTGCGGCAGGGATGTGGCTTTGGGAGGAGCACCCAGTTCGTGGCACCGCATGGCCCCGCTGCGGTGACCCATTGTGGGTGCCCCTGTGCCCGCCCCTACCATGGAGTGCCTGGCAGAGGTGCACATGGGTGGGTGCTGCGCAGATGGGGCAGCGGTGGCAGCCAGGGGTGCCGGGGGGGATGAGGTGAACCAGGGTCCCCTCTCTGGCCAGGGGACACACGGAGCAGCTCCACGTGTTGCTGTGCACAAGGGAGAGGTGCAGGCGGTCAGTGCAGGGCAGGCAGATGGGACCTTGTGGGCTGTGGAGAGAGCAAAGGGTGAGCCCTGATGGGGTCATATAGAATCACTGGTTTGGGTCAGAGAGGAGCTTAACATCATCCAGGTCCAACCCCTGCTATGGGCAGGGCCACCTTCCACTAAAGCATGTGTCAGAAACCACTCCTTGCCAAGCCATACCGCACCAGCACCTGGTTCATTACCAGTTTTGAAGGCTGGATCAGATGATCCTTGAGGTCCCTCCCAAGCTGGCTCTGATGACCTCAAGGATCATCACCTTTGAACCTGGTTTGAATCAGAACCTGGTTCTATGATTTTGTGGAACTAACCATGGCTAGGGGTGAGAAAAGCATCATAGGCCACAGGTGACATGAGGCTGAGCCCTGTGGGAACAGCTGAGGAGCACAGGCTGATTGAGAGACACCCAAGGAAACCACATGAGCATCGTCCAAGTAAACCTCAGCCCAGCTTCACCTCACTCTGCTTTGCAAGCAGGCACCACACTTTTGCCCTTACACAGAGCTATAAGCAAGCAGAACCAACACCTCCTTGTAAACTAAATGGTCATTTCTTCATTTTAAGTGGTGAACTCTCGGTTTTGAGCACACTGGGTGCATACCGTGGTGCCCACACTGGCCATATCACCCTCAACCCTCAGACCACCCTCACCCCTCGCTCCACACTCACCCCTCACTCCACACTCACCTCTCATCCTGCTGTTGGGGCTGCTCCCTGGGCACCACGGGGCTGGTATCGCATTGACCCACATGAGCACACATCCAGCTTTCACAGACAGGACAGACGTGGTGGCAGCTGTGGAGAAGCACCACTGAGGATGTGCACTGAGTCTCTTCATGGAGACTCCAAAATCCCTGTGAAGTCTGGCATCTCCAGCTCCCCTGGTACTGGGGAACCACCCAGGATTCCAGATACCTGGGATCAGCTCCACCACAAACCCCCTGGCTTTGATAAAACCTGTGATTCTTTGTCTTTTCTGACACATCCTGCTTCATCAGAGAGCTGGAGCAGCTCTGCTCTGGAGCCAGGCTCAGAGAGCTGGGCTGGGGCAGCCTGGAGAAGAGAAGGCTCCTGAAGGGGAGAGCTGAGAGCAGCTCCAGTGCCTGAAGGGGCTGCAGGAAACCTGGAGAGGGGCTTGGGGCAAGGGATGTAGGGACAGGCCAAGGGGAATGGCTTTAACCTGCCCGAGGGGAGACTGAGATGAGCTCTTAGGCAGAAGCTCTTCCCTGTGAGGGTGCTGAGGCGCTGGCACAGGGTGCCCAGAGAAGCTGTGGCTGCCCCATCCCTGGCAGTGCTCAAGGCCAGGTTGGACACAGGGGCTTGGAGCAAGCTGCTCTAGTGGAAGGTGTATTTTTAAGTGGAAGACAAACCTTTCATGGTCCATGGGCTGCTCTGCATTGCTCTGCTCTGGAACAGCTCCTCCTGTCCCATCACCCCTCCACTCATCCACAGCTTTGGCAGGAGAGCTGAACACAGAGAAAGAGAGGAAAACCTGAATCCACCTGCGCGTGTGGCTTTCCAAGAATGACAGCTGCCCTGCAGAACAGGGCTGAAAGGAACCGAAAGAATTCAAACTGCAAAACCTGCCCTGTCATAGAACGTTTTTTGTTGGAATGGACCTTAAAGCCCATCCAGTTCCAACCCCCTGCCATGGGCAGGGACACCTTCCACTCTACCCTGTATTGACTGTTACAAGCTCTCCCGTGAGCCTTCTCTCTCTAGCCATGTATCAATGCTTTCTCCCCCAGGAAGTGCCCTTTCCCTCTGGTTTGCTTCACAGGGACCCACGGTACCTCGTGCCTGCTGGGCTCTGGCTCTCCCCATCGCCGATGCTGGTGACCGAGTACGTTCGCGGTGCTGCAGGCTGGGAGCTCAGCCAGTGCTGGCAGACGGCACAGCCACGGCGTTCAGGCTCGCTGTGTGGGGCCAGGGCAGCGTGGAGCCGCTCCTCGCATGTGGGACACACGTGGCAACTCGTTGTGTGGCTGCAGGTGGGGAAGACAAGGGGGAAACCCTCCTGAGGAGCCCTTGGGGCAACACCAAACCCTCCCATGAAACCCTCTTTGGCAGCACCGCGTTCATTGCGTCACAGAATCCCAGCCTGTTTGGGTTGGAGGGACCTTAAAGCTCATCCAGTTCCAACCCCCTGCTCTTGAACACTGCCAGGGGCTGTACCACTGTGGTCAGGCACAGCAGGCCAGAAATAACACTGGTGGGAGCAGTGGGAGCAGTCAGAAGAGCGGCACAAGCTTTTGGACAGATGAACAAGCAAACCTACCAAAAATAGGAATGCCACGGCACAGGCTGCTTCCCATCAGCCTTCATCTCTGGGTGCATCCCTGGATCCCTTCTGTTCGTCTCCTGCTTTTGTAAATGCATATTGAAAGAGCTGAAGAGACAGAAAGGAGAAATGCACAGAATAAAGAGCAACTGAGCAACATGGAAAGATCGTTCTAACCATGCACACATTTACTGAAGGCAATGGCCATCACTCCAAGTTCAAAGGAAACCCTTAGGGAAAGTTATGATTTATATGGGGCAGCTTAGGCTCACTTACTGGGTTTTATTGTCTTTCCGTCTCTTGATGATCCCAATGAGAATTCCAAGGACTACTGCGGGAGCTAATCAATAAAGAAGGAAAGCAGAACAAAACAATACAGAACAAATGCACCGAGAAACCGGTGTGGAATTTCAGTGAGATCCCACGGTTTGGTAAAAGACTGGCAGCAAAATTCCCTGAGATTCCATGCCCAGAGGCTGCCCTCAGCCAGGAGAGCACCAACCCCCTCCTGTGTCTGAACAGAAACCGCAGCTCCATGTGGTCATGCTGAGCTTGTGGAGGGTGTGATCCTTTTATGAAGCACCTCCTAATTCCTTCCTATTTTAAACATGCTCTCAACTTTTAGCACTTGATCCCTTTTGCAACCAGGATGCTCCAAGCCCCTCTAATCTCTTATCTTTCAATGTCTGCAAGGCTTTCTAAAGCAGCGTTATCCATGCAAGAGTGACAGGACGTACAGGTTTTGGTTTGCGTCTCACACTGGCTTCTTTGGCTCCTTTCATGTCGTCCTCACTTGATGCAGTGTTTTATACTAAGACATAATCGAGCCGATGCTGCTGCATTAGATGATCTTAAGGTCCTTTCCTACCCTAACTATTCTTTGATTCTATTACCTAATGGCAAAACCCACCCCTGAATCCTGACCAGAGTCTCTCAGTGCTAAGGAAATGAACAAACCAAAACCACTGACTCCAAGGATTGAACAGCAAATAACAGCTTTGGGGTAGAGAAGTGTATTTTCAGTTTTAAACTACTTACCAATGCAACTGGGGATGAGGACACTTGCTAGAGAAAAAACCAACAGCACTGACGTTAATAAAATGAAGCCAACAACGCAGCTAACTAAGTGGGGGGGTGCTGAATTCTTGCTCACAGAATGATGTTATTCAAACCCAGAAAACCACAGCACTGCTGAGATGACAAAATGCTCTAAACCAATCTGTCATTAGCTACACTCATCATTATGCTCCTCTTGAGTCCCTCATCCCACTGCCGGAGCTGAGGTCCATAGCCCCAGGCTACCTCCACCCTCACCAACATCCACATACAGCCAAGATAACATCAATGGGTTCTACTGAAATATTTGGCTGCATGGAGGGAGATCCAAGCATCTGAATGCAACCCTGCATCACATCAGCCAAGGGGTCACGCAGTTGGGATCAGAGAGAGAAGGGGATCAGAGCAGGGAATAAGCTCGTGCAACCCCTTTAGAAACTGGAAGATGGACCCACCAAAGCAGTAAAGGCAGCAACAACAGTGAGTGGAGTTACAGGGACCTGATGTGGGTGCAGTTACTCCAATTGAAAGGTTTCTGAGGCAGAAAGGCTCTCCTGGACTCTTACCTAGCCAGTGGCCATTCTCTGCTGTCTTTTCTTCCGAGGGTTTGGTTTGGTTTGCTGCTGCCGTAGTGCTAACTGGAGAGAGAAACAAAGGAAAACCAGTCAAAATTGTATTTTATTTAATCCTCCATTTATATATGATACAGAGACTACTTCAGATATAGAATTTATTATGGGCAGGTGACTTGTGTATGTGTGGCTATGACAGCAAGGGCTGCAGAAGAGTCACCTGGGACCTCTTGGTGACAATACAGCTGTAGGACAGAGGGAATCTGCTGCCCTGTTTGGCTTTACAGCCCGGTTAAGTGCACAGCAAGAGCAGGATGATTACCCAGCCATGCTTACCCCTGCATTCCGGAGGAGGCCTGCTCCAGACACCACTGACCCCGTTCTCTGTTGTACAATGGAGGGTCTCATTCCCCACAAGCTGGAGCCCAGGGTCACACGTGTACATCACCACTGAGCTGTATGTGAACTCCTCTGTCCCACTGCTGTTATGCTTCCCATTGGGAATAGCTGGAGGCGGAGGACAAGAAATAGCTGGGGGGGGAAGAAAACAGTGACCATGAGATGCTTTCTCCACAACGTGAAGAGAGAAAAACCAAGAGCTGCTTGCACATGGGCTGCAATGGAGGGGAGCAGGAGCAGGAGCGCTGTTCCCACTCTCAGCACACAGTTACTTTCCAGCCCCTCCTGACCTGCTGTCCTGTGTACACCAGGCAGCACAGCCTGCAGGGACTCCAGCCCTTCTGGGTTCCTCCTTTGTGGCTTTCACATGCAAAAGTGATGACAGAATCATAGAGTCCCAGTCTGGTTTGGGTTGGAAGTGACCTTAAAACTCATCCAGTTCCAAGCCCCTGCCATGGGCAGGGACACTTCCCACTAGAGCAGCATCAAGGCTGGTCCCTGCTGTCACCACACCAGAGATACTGACCTGACCTCACACGGTAAAATCAACACATGGTTCAGTATTTCAAGTGCTGGAGAACTTCACTTACCCTGGCAAGCTGGAATTTGGCTCCAGGCAACATCCCCTTCCCTTATGGAACACCGGACAAGAGGTGACTCTCCCTTTAACGTGTACCTGCAAAAGGCACATCCCCAAATCTGCTTGTTGGCAGCACCCAAGCATGTGTCATATCTCCCCCAGAGGTGCTTAGGACTCAACAGGCAGAGCCCCGTGCCCCAGCACACACACAGGGTGATGGGAATGGAGGGTCTTCACACTCACCCATGGTTACAAACTACATCTGCTCTTGCACCCAGCAGATGATCATCTGTAATAACTTTGCCATGTTCTGGATTTGCTGGAATACCACAAGATTTCCCTAAAAAAAGAGTGAGATTATCCCAGTGTCATCCCCAAACAGAGTCCCTCACCCAGCGGGCAATAGCCAGTTCATGCACAGAGCTGAGGGGTTTGGTTATTCCAAGTCTGTGTACAACAAGGGTGCTGGGTGCTACCCCACAGAGCTAGCACCCTACCCCATACACAAGTCACCTATTCATACACTTCAGCTCAGGTTAGTGACTTCCCACAGCCCTCCATGACTGGTCCGTTAACTGACATATAGTTACACCATTGATTCCTTACTACACGTGCCTTTTAACCTGGACAGGGATTTTTTGACCTATAGGCATGATTTTTAGTATTATACTGAGGCTATAATGAGGATAGTTCCCCTAAAGGACACTCTAATCCCATTATGCTGACACATCAGAGTCATATCTTGATGGTGTCCATGTGTCTTCAAGATGTACCAGGCTTCAAGGATAGTTTTTCCTGATTGGAGAGTCCTTAGGCTTGTTTCTTAATGTGCCTACACAAAGCCTCCTCCCTGGTTATCAATTCTCTTTGTTAGGCAGTGTTGTTTCCAGGTTACCCTGACCTTTGGGAAGCTCTTGTATCTCTTCAGGCTTTTCCACAGTAAAGTGTCAACTTCATAATTATGTGTCTACACAAGTCCCAGTTTTTTAACTATATACCTATAATGCTTAAGAAACTGCGAGGATGGGAGAAAACCCACAGACATCACAGCATGGCAATGTCAAACCTGGCATCCCGTGGTGTTTCATGCCAAACATCATCGAAAAGAAGCAATCCTAAAACACAACTCAGACGTATCACTTGGAACACAGCCCCGCGGGTGCAGCTGGGGAAGGATGCTGAAGCAAAGGGAATGACACAGGGACACTCACTCTGACACAGCTGAGGAACCTCTGACCATGTTAAGTCCTCAAGACACGTGCTGGTGGGGAGCTGGTCTGTGGTGTTCCTGTAGCCTGGGCGGCAGCCGTACTTCACTGTGGTACCAACTCCATAGAAGTTCTGGGTTTCATCTTGCTGTGATACTTTAGCAAAAAGCACCCGGGGGGGGCTGGGGCAGCTGCCTGGGAGTGACAACAACACCCTGAGCATGCAGGTGGAAAGCCAAGGTAACAGTGTTCTGCGTTCATAGAACCGTGCAATGGTTTGGGTTGAAGGGACCCTAAAGCTCATCCAGTTCCAACCCCTGCCACGGGCAGGGACCCCTTCCACTGGAGCAGCTTGCTCCAAGCCCCTGTGTCCAACCTGGCCTTGAGCACTGCCAGGGATGGGGCAGCCACAGCTCCTCTGGGTAACCGGTTACTGGGCAACCTCCTTTGCCAGCTTCGCCATTGAAGCATTTAAGGTGGGAAGAGCAGCCAGCTCTTCCCAGCAGTGCCAAACCTTCCCCCGAGCTAACCCTTGTGACAGCGGTGCCAGCCTCTCCCCTCGTCCCTCTGCTTCCACGAGCCAACAACCTGCTTTTATTGCTGCATGAGCACCAGCACGTGGCTCCAACAACATAAGCAGGGTTGGGAAAAGGGGTCAGCGAGAGGTTCTCTGCTGAGCAACTTCATCGTGCATCACTTTGGGTGAGGAAACCCTTGAGGCTGCGGTTGCTAAAGCAGCAAATGCTTTCACAAGCAGTGGATGTTTTCACAAGCAGAGTTCCCCTCTAAGCAACTCTTTCCATAGAAAGTGGAATACTTACGCCCACAGAACTCCGGGAGGTTGGACCACTGGGAGGTGGCAAGGCACTGTATGGTATCTGAGAGCAAGGGGAGCTTCGTGTAACCCGCACGGCATCTGTACGTTACCATGGAGCCGACACTGAAGCTTTCCCGGTGTTGAGGGTCCTCCAGGGGCTCTGCACTGCTTATGGTTGGCAGTGGCCCACAGTCACCTGGAGTAAAACAAACCTGGATTTAGTGGGGTGCCTGCTGCCAGCGTGAGTACCCGGGGCAAGGCACAGCATGGGTTTGGGACACGCAGAGTCTGCAGGACAGCGCAGCACATGCACCCCTGACGTGCACCCGCAGTAGAGCAGAGCATGCGTGGAGCACACAGACACATGGACAACACACATGTACAGGACACACACACCCAAATGAAACACATGCAGCCACGACGCACATCCACAACGTGCACCTACGGTAGCACAGCACACATGGAGCACATAGAGAACATACGTGCATAGGGCATATACATCCGCACACAGCTTGCACTGCATGGAGCACACACATGCATGGAGCACGCACATGTAGGGGGGGACATGCACCCACATGGAGCACACAAACCCCGCAGCACACACCCACAGTGGAACACAGCACGTGTGGAGCACATGGAGCTCACAGACACATGGAGCGCATGCATTCACGGGGCTCACACACGGAACACCAGTGCTCACCCTCCACCACCTCCCGTCCCCGTGTGCTCACCCCAAGCCGCGGGCAGCAGCAGCGGCAGCAGCAGCGCGGGCAGGAGCGGGCGGCGGCCGGAGCCCATCACCGCCGCGGCGCGCCGGGACCAGGACCCAAGCGGAGCGGAGCAGCGGGTGCGCAGCCGGGAGCGGCCCCAGCAGGGCGGGGAGCGGGGCCCCTCCCGGAGCAGCTGAGAGGGAGGGAGGGAGGGAAGGGACGGGAAAGGAGATGCTGCAGCCGCCAAAGGTGGGGCAGCGCAGCTCGCTGTGGTACCACCGTGCAGCCCCGCTCCTGCACACGCGTTCAGTGAAGGACAAGCAGGTGATGGCCCGTGGGACACAAGGTAAGGAGCAAAGGGATCTGTGCGTACCTGGGATGCAGCTGGGCACCCGTGGGTACCATCTGCCGCTGGCCAGGCACCGCACCGTGCTGGTGGCTCCCAGGGGCACGTAGCCGGGGTCGCACGTGAGCGTGGCTGTGCTGCCCGAGGTGAAGTTCCATGCAGGTCCCAGCTGTCCATGGGTGATATCTGGGACGGGGCACTGAGCCTCTGCGGATCACCGGCTCCCAAACCAGTTCCAAGCATCACCTGCCTGTCCCTAGGAAGAGGCTTCCTGGAAGAGAGGTTTTTCTGCAAGGAGAGAGGAGAAGGGAGCTTTCCTCCGGTCCGAGGGATGCGCAGGGGACCAGAGGGCTGTAAACCAGCTCCACTTTGGAGCTGCTGATTGAGCTGCTTCTCTAACACCCATGCACAGAACAAGGCAGCGTTTCCACTGTCACTCTCCCAGTTAGACATGCAGCTCCTCGCATGGAAGGAGAGGCTCAGGGATGTCCTAAGGCCCAGGCAGGCACAGGAGCAGTTTGTTCAGCTCCATGCCTGCATTGGGAAGCTGCTCTGGGCTCCCTGCCCTCCACAGGGATTGCAGGAAGAGCCAAAGGAAAGGTTGTGGCTGTGTTTGCTGCCCTGTCCCGCTCTGATGAGCAGTGCTGCTGCTAAGGGAGATGTGTCACCCCACCCCGAGGAAAGGGCAGCCAGCAGCATCCCATCTGCCTCCCTCTGCCTTTGTTATCCAGGAAACACTGATGTTGCCACTGGAAAGCTCCATCATTTTATTTTAGTTTACTTCCCCCACTTGATTTCCCTTTCCAATACAATTTAAGCTCCAAGCATACATAACAAAAGCACCTGCAACGAGGCCAAGGGATGTTTTCATGAGGGAGGAGTCAAGCAGCCTGGATAACATATTCCTTTCAAACACTTCCTTGTGACCACACTGACAGGTCATATGGAGATGTCTTGGCCACATTACAGGTCACTGGTCACTGAGCTGGGATGGTGGCTGCACAATACAACAGGAGGTTGCTAAGAGGAAAAAGGAGGTGTTAAATGTAGGGGAATTCTCTTGTAAGAGCTGTCAGCAATGACCTCAGCAAGGGAGAGCAAGATGTGCACAAGTATTTGGCAAAGAGCTCTTGCAACACTTGGGTTTCAGGGAGTGGCTGGGTTCTTACGTGCTCAGAAGAGCCAAGTGCTCGAGGTTCAACCCAGTGAAATCCCCTCAACAGAGCTCAGATGAGCCCCTTGAACCAGGCTGTTTTCCTACCTGAGGCCATGCAGGAGCATCTCTACCTGCCCAAACCATCAGGCCCAGCTCAGCCCGTCCCCCTGCCCCCGTTTACTGCCCCATTTTAACCCAGTAACAGCCCGAGCACCGAAACCTCCTGCTCTGGAGCTGCCCCAGCAGCTGAGCCCTGCGATAGCGGCTCTGCCCTGCTCAGCTGGAGCCAGCAAGAGCCACTGGCTTTATCTTGCCCTGACATCCCTTCCCCATGCTGCAGAAATCAGGCCAAGCAGATGGTGATGGCAGAAGCGACAGCACAGAGGGGAGCCTGACCCACGCTGCTCTGTGTGTGCTCACGCTGCGAGGCTTGGACCTGGAACAGCACGAGCTTTCCAGCAAACCAGGGCTGAGCTGCTGGAGCTGCTCTTGGTTTTCCACAGACCTCGGCTCCTTTCCATCCTTGGGCAGGGCAGCAGCTCGCAGCTCCCAGAGCCTTCCTGAGGATGTCCCTGGGTCTGCCCGGGCTGAGCTGGGGAGCCACAGCTCAGGACCAGGACACTGAGCAGGATTAAGGCAGGTGAGCCTTACTGGTAACATCACTTACCAGAAACACTCACATTCCCAAACATTCCTGCGTGCATTTTCTTTCTTTTTCTGAAGAAACCAAGTTAAATTTTCATATGAGGCCATTTAGAAAAGAAACAAGAGTGCTGATAAAGAACCCCAAATCTGAACATTGCCAACACGTATCTAAAAGCTGATACCTTCCTGAAAACAGCATCAGCTATGGAAAGGGAAGAGCAGGCAGCTGAATTCACAGGCTACCCTTTATAAGCAATTACCATTTATTACTAAATGCAAGTGAAATCCCATTAAGACTTTGGGAGCTTTAATGTTCAGTGTAGAGCAAAGACAGTAGCCAGCCAGCAGCATAACCCTGCCATTTCCAGGTTCTCTCTTGCAGTGTGACCACACAGGAGGGTGTATTTAGCAGTTCCTTCTCTGTGTCTGGGAGGAGTCCATGTGCTCACAGCCTGCAGCGTTGCAGAGGGGCCTTCCTCCCTCGGGAAAGCAGAATTGGCTTCTTCATGGCTGGTGGGTACCCAGTGGCTGTTATTGTTCGTGTCTGAACAGAGACAGAAACTGCAGAGCACTTGGGTCTGAGACAGAAAACACTTTAGCTAAAGAAAGTGCTTGAAGTACGGAAGGTACACAGATCAACATCCGATTTAGCATCTAAAATACTGTGGTTTCCTAACAGGAATGAGCTCCTAACTTTGCAGTGGGGGAAGTCAGTATTTGGCTTTCAGCACAACCCTGCCTGGGTGTATCTGCAACTGGAGCGTGCTGCAGCCAGGAATTCCTGGGCAGTGAAGGGAGCAGCTCATCTTGACTGATCGCTGTGGGTCTTTTACAGCCTCTCCTGTGCACTGGTATGTGTGGTGCTGCCTGCGAGCAAGGAGATCTGCAGGTGCGGAAACACTGAGTTGGACTGGCTGAGAAATAACCGAGCTCCACCAGAACCTCTGCAGAGGGCTGGGGGCTTCCTGAGGATCTGCAGCTTCCCAGCCTGAAGGAAAGGCTGAGAAGATCCATAGGTAATCCTGACTGCATTCAGGACGTTGCTGGAAATCGCTGAAAGAGAGAAAAGCTCAGCTGGGAATGGGCAAACTCTTGTGTGATTTTCAATCAATTAATGGAACATTAAAACCTAACCATCATTTTAAAAGATGCCTCCCAATGGGTGCTCTGCCTTGATCGTTATCACTTCCAATTGCATGCTTGCAGTCCCCACCCAGACACCATTCCCAACACTCACCCTTTTTATGGGTACAAGAATCCTTTGCACCGGATAGGAAATCTGTTGTAGCAACACTTCTGCCACCTCCAGCTTCTCCGGGCTGCCCATGACCTCGCTGGTGTGGAACAAGGTCTGTGTTAGTACATTGCCTCTCGCTGCTGAACAAGGAGAGAAGTCCCAACACTCTTAAGGCCACACGGGCCAAAGTTACCTCTTGCTTTTCAATATGGCAAAAATTGAGCTAAATCAGATCTGCGCTAAGATGAGGGCAAGGAAAAAACTGCTGAAATACCTTTAATACAAAGCAAAGCTTTTGTAAGAGGAGGTCAATGCAGTCAAATCTCATAGAAGGCAAGAACACAGCAAAAAAGAAATCACTTACTTCCACAAAATGATGCAACTTGAGACCGTTTTAAGTTCTCAAAGCAGCCAGCTTGCGGGAGGATGCCAGAGATGCCCATGTACTTCGGAGGACACATGGATCCTTGGCTGGTCCAAGGAGAATGGTAGGGTTTGGTTTTGTACAAAGGAACAACGAATCTCAATGGGGAGGTAGCACAGCTCCTGGACACTGAAGAGGAACATGGGCGAAAATGGCAGTTCCAGGTATAGGAGCAAGCAGGGAGTTTCACTGATGAGTTCCCCTGAACTCCAGTGATCCTACAGGGACTGACCTGGTGTCTTGGAGAAAGAAGAAGAATGGGAGTAAGAGATGGTATTTTGGAGTGACTTTTTATAAAGGCTGAGCTTCATTTCCCATTTCGAAGCCTTCTTCTTAGCTGGGTGGATGGCTTTTTGTTGGGAACCTGAAAGAATGAAAACCATGGTGTGAAATGGCTTAAATGTGATAAAGGAGCAAATTCAGCTGGGAAACGTGGGTCTTGATTCAGTGTAAGATCCTTCCGACTCACTTTGGGGAGGAGGACTCCTTTCCATTTGTTTTACTCCAAGTTTGACAGGTAGCTTTTTCTCTAGGGTATAAAGAGTAAGCATCGCTTAGCACCGCACCTTTCTTACACAGCCCTTTCCTTACTCACTTCAGCACTGCTTTTTTCCCTCTTTCAAATTGCAGTATGACTTAGACCTGGCATGCCCTGTACTAAGCAATCACAGTATTTTAAGCTGGTGCATCCTAAATACTGAATTCACAATAAATACTAAACTCAGATGAAACCACCTTTGCACGCAGGCACAGCTCTGCTCCAGACTCCCTTTGTTTTGTCCATACTGGTACAGCGGATGCTCCCATTCCCAACGAGCTGGAAGCCAGAGTCACAGCTGTAAGTCACGGTGGAGTTATAAGCAAAGGTTTTTACACCTTCACCGTCATGTTTTCCGTTGCTAATGTGAGGAGGTGAAGAGCAGGTAATTACTGCAGGGAAAAAGGTCAACATAAGCATTGCTAAAAGCTTCAGTAATAATGAAAATGCAAAAGGTTTCTTGAGTCCATCTAAAACTCAAAGACAATAAACTTCCAGACAGCTGACGAGGGGTAAAAACTGGCACTGAGATCTTCCTTGATTCTCTTTCTTTTTGTTCTTTCTCTTGTCACATCTTTCTCCTTCTCCATTCCCAGGGTCCCAGAGCACCAACAGACCCCTTGCCATGCCCTGGCCGGTGGTTCCTGCAAGCCTCATCCCATCGACTTCGCTGCAGCCTTAAGTCATGAGAAAATAGGTTGAACTTGTGGGAACAAAACTGCTGAAAGGCAGTGTCAGCAGCACAATGGGGATTTCTCAGCTGCGGTGGTGGTGGTGGAGCTGCCGCATAACATAACAAAAACAATGTATGAAGACAGGCTTAGACTGGACATCAGGATCTACTGGAGCAAAGTCAGAAATAAGGGTGGATTAACCTTACATTCACAAGTTGGAAGTGTACTCCATGCAACATCATTTCCTTTAAGCTGACACTGGATGAAATGACTCCCGTTTAATCTGTACCTAAGTGAAAATACACAAGAGAAGAAGCATTTGCGTAACTATTCAGAAACAGAGAATACAGGTTTTTTCCCATTACCTGTCTGCTCAAGAATGGAGAAAAGGCAAATTTAAAGCAAGGAGATGTGCACACTGATGCACACACTGATAACAGGAGAGCTCCTTCACCTTGCTGTCTGCCAGGATTCTTATTAATCTGGTTTTTAGGTGATTCTCTGCTTTGGAGTGAGCATCTTCCATTGCAAGGATGGGAGCATGTGCTGAATCCTAGAATGGTTTGGGTTGGAAGGGACCCTAAAGCTCCCCCAGCTCCAACCCCTGCCAGGGGCAGGGACCCCTTCCACTACAGCAGCTTGCTCCAAGCCCCTGTGTCCAACCTGGCCTTGAACACTGCCAGGGATGGGGGATGCAAATGCCAGACAGCACTGAGGTTAGCCACGGATTCCCACACGGGCTCGGGTTTGCTGAATCAGGGACTGTTTCCCCCTGTCTGCTTCCTGGCGGAGAACAGCACTGGGATTGATGCTGCTGGCATCCAGTGCCTTTCCCACGCCACTGCCACCCGCTGGGATGAGGGGGTGAGGTGAGGAGCTCCCTCCTGAGCTCATGCAGCATCTCTAAAGGCTGGGACTCAGCCCCAGCTGCTGCTCACACCCCAGCAGTGCTGCAGTACCCGGTGTGCTGGACCTGCTGACAGCCCCGCTGCGGCGGTGGAGGGCAGGCTCCCCGCAGGCTCCAGTGCTGCCTCCTCCCTGGCACGTTGCTTTTGGGTCGTAAAGGTGTAGCTGTTCTGCCAAAGGCTTGCCAGGAAAGCCAACAACAGCAGGGACCAGTGAGGGGCAGTGAGGGTCTCTGTGTCACTTGGGATGGATTGGCTTCCTGGAAGCTCCATACATCTTGTCCTGACAGCACCAGCACCTTTCCCAACCTCTGATTTACATCCTTCTGCTCAAAAAAGAAAAAAATCACAATTTGGGCAGGATCAATAGTATCTGATCTTGCTTATCCAGATAACGTTATTCCTCCACCCTGATGTGGTGTTTCCAAAGATCAGCTGAACTGCAGAAGGGTGGGACATGCTGTCATTTCCCCAGCATCCATCCCAAGGGAACATCTGGAGGAAAAACCCCGGTGTTGTATTTGAGGCAGCTGTAAAGACTGGCAGAACGAGCCAGATGATACCAGCTAATTCCTGCTGGGGAGGGAGGGATACAAGCTGGAGATGCAGGAGCTTCCCTTTGCATGTCAGTCTTTTGCAAGTGGCCCTGATTGAAAGCAGGCAGAAAGTGTGAGTCAGCTCAGTGAGTGATGGAAAGAGTGCTTCACTGCAGTCTTCTGGACATCACTGACCTTTAAACATTCCAACAGAACCCCTTTTTATTCCATATATCTCAAATATGCTAAGCTGAAATGTTCAAGGCCAGGTTGGATGGGGCTTGAAGTAACCTGGTCTAGTGAAAGGTGTCCCTGCCTCTGGCAGGGGGTTGGGACTGGATGAGCTTTGAGGTGCCTTCAACCCAAACCAGGCTGGGATTCTATGAAATATTTGAAGCAACTTGTTTTGATGCATGTAGTTACAAACTGAATGTACAACCAGCCCTGTTCGGTTGATGCACAGGGGCAGTTCAATCTCCTCTGCATGCACTTGATAGAAAAGGCAGCCACAGATTCAAACCCAGTCCCTTCCCTTCAGCCATGTCTTATTCCTTCCCAGCCCAAAGATGCAATTCAAATGGGAAAAGCAGCCCCATGCTCTGCCCTCTGAGCAGCACCACAGGAGTGATACACAGTGAAACAACATCCCAGCATCCCTGCCCTGGACCACAGCTTGTATTCCAGCAGCAGTGTGCTGGAGCTTAGAGCACTGCCCCGGGACTCACCCGTCCTCACAGAACACGTTCACTCTGGCACCGAACTGCAGGTCTGTCAGTGTGACCAACCTGCCCCCGGGCAGCGCTTCTGGGTCCCCGCAGGCTTTCCCTGCCGGAGAATGAGGCTGGCGTTAGCAGAACACGCACCGATGGGGAATTCCCGAGCAAGGAACAGACTTCGGGGGTTATACCCAGTGGGACCAGTGTTTTACTTCACAAGCGTCTTGCAGGAGGGCAGAGGAAGCTGTTTGCGGAGGTATTCCCATCTCCATAGGTTAGCAGTAAGTTACTCAGCTGTGACAAAGGTATTGCGGCCACACCACCAGCCTTCATATTACATGGATTTCACCAAGAAACACGTTTGCTCTGCATTTTGAAGTGCAACACAACTGCAATTCGGCACCTGTCCTGTGCATGTACCCCAGCCAGATAGAGCCATATGGAGCAGAGCAGAGATACTCACTCCTGCACAGCTCAGCCGCTTCTGACCACTCCAGGTTTTCAAGGCAAGTGCTGGTGGGGGAGCTTTCCGAGGTGTTCTCATAGCCGGGGCGGCAGACGTAGCTCACATTGCTCCCAACAGGAAAGAAGTTAATCCTCTCATCCACCTTGGAGAGGGCAGCGAACCTCAGCCTTGTCGGGGCAGCGCAGCTCCCTGGCAGTCAAGGAAGCCTGACCTGAAAGAGCTGCCCTGGGGGAAGCATGCAAAATAAACCCCGGCATTGCAGAGCTGCTCTTGCTATGGTGCTTTTGGAAAGCTCCTCCTGTTCAGCACAGGTTATGGCTGGTTTCTTACCAGGCTGCTATTCTGCTGCATGCCCTTTGGCAAAACAAGGATGGAGATGTGATAACGGCGCAGGCAAAGCTGTTAGTAGGAAATAAGGAGTCGCAGCCTCTGCAGCCTCTGACACCCAGGGTTTGGGAGGCGCAGGAGCATCGTGGGCTCCAGCCACCATCCAGCTGACCCCATCACTGACCAGCAGGGATCCTGCACCCATCAACAAGCGGCAGCCATGGGAAGTGGGTCTGTACCTTGCCAGGGGTGGTGATGCCACTGTAGAGCAGCCACAGTAAGGGGCAGAAGCGTGAAGCCAAGCAAGAGGCTCTTTGGAGCTGGGTCTCAGAGAAAGGAGGTATTTACGGCCGCAGGGCTCGGGCAGCGTGGACCAGCGTGCGCCAGGCAGGCACTTCACCATGTCTGATCTCCCAGGGATTTTGATGGTGCCTTCGATGCACGTGTACATCACGCTGGATCCAATAGGAAAGCTGATGGTGTGCTTATCAACGGATGGCCTGGAGTAGGTCATGGGAGGTGGGGGCCCACAGTCACCTGTGGTAAGAGAAGACCACTTTGGGTGAGGCCTCCATTCCCTGGCCCCTTCCCCAGCCCCACTGAGCATCCCAGCTCCTGGGCTGGCCCAGGCTTCTTCTGCAGGCAAAGGTGCCAGGCAGGACTGCATCCATGAGAGCATCAAGCAATGGGTCCCCCCAGGCTTGGGGATGGTGGTGGCATCACCCACCCCAGCCCCAAGCAGCAAGGTGGGATCCAGACAGGTCTCACTGGTCCTCCCCATACATCCCATGCTCCTGTACTCACCACGAGCCACAGGCATGCCCAGGAGCCCCAGCAAGGGCAGGAGCAGCATGGAGTATCCAGATGCCCGTGCACCAGCAGGTACCCTGCAGGTCAGGGTGCCTGGGTGCTTCCCCCATCCTGGTTCTCCAGACTTCATTGCAGTGATTTCTGTGCTCCTCTGTCAAGCACGGCTAGCTCCAAGGGGCTGTTTCTGAAGCTGGGAGGAGATGCAGCCCAGGAGACCCAGCCAAGCCTCTGCAACAGTGGAAACCTTTCCAGAACACCCAGGGAGCTAAACTCTGAGTCAGGGACGTAGAGAGCAGCCAAGGGTGGGGGACAACTGTCATCCACAGCTCAGGCAATGCCTCTGGTCCTCCTGCCTCACCATGAGTGATGGGGGGATAACTCAACCCTTTCATTTGACTTGAGACTGGCTGTAAGCACTAGTTCTTACCAAAACCAAATGCTACCAGAGCAGAAAAGACCCTCACCCAGCCCCAGTCTGTACCCAGGGTAGGTAAATGCCCCCTGGTTATTTGCTGGCAGGTGATGCAACCAGGATCTTCCCTAAGCAGGGTTAGGGAAAGAAAAAATAGAAGCATTTTCCCTTTTGCTTGCTAATTTGTTTCTTGATTGCCTGACTCATTTATAAGCAGGAATGGGTGGGAGTGAATACATCTGCATACTGACTAACAGGCTGAAGTATCCCTGACATCAGTCAGGATGACTGAAACACACTCTTAGATACACGGGGGATGTAACACCCAGTTCTTACTCGTGCTGATGGGTTTTGAGCCTTGCACACGGAGATAAGACACTTGCTGTTTGCAGTCTCAGGTGAGCTCAGCGCAGAGAGGAACGAGGTGTCACAGGAGAGGGTACAGCCCAGCTCTCCCTGGGGCACAGGCAGTACTGGGGTGGGTCTGAGAGTGCCCCTCATTGCAGAGGATGCTGCGGGGATAATGCACAGCTTGCATTTTCAAAGCATCTTTCTGCGTAAAGATGGGAGGTGCCATCTCTTCCCTGGGTGCTGTTTGGCTCTAGTAACTTTTACAGCAGCTCTAATAAAGCGTTCATCTGGCAGTGATATCCCACTGTAAACCACTTGGGCAGGAGATGAATTAGAGTCTGGATCAGAAGAGCCCTTGGACCACGCTGGAAATCAGCCAGACAGATCACAAGACACCATGGTGGCACCTTCAGCTTTATTGCAACCCGCAGGGAAGGAGTAGTTGCTGCATCCCAGGGCCACACAAACTGTAAATCATCATTTACTGAGTAATGCGAACAAGCTTTGGGTTCTGATTCTCTGCACATCAAGTTACAATATCTATTCTCAGCATTTGCTTGCCAGAAATAAGGATGTTGAACACGACGCCAACAGAGGTATCTGAGCCCAGTGCTGGATCAGAAACCTCTTGCTCTTAAATCCAGGGGTTAGCAAGCAGAAGCCTTTACAGAAGCACTTCTGTGTAGTCACCCTTAACTAGATGTATAGAAGTCATGAGCTAGATTAACAGGAAATTACGTAGTTCAACACTCACTGCATTGCTGTTTCTAGATAGCAGGAGAGTGCTGTGCTGTGAGAGGCTGAGCGCAGCGCAGGCAGAGGGTGAGGCGTATGTGCACAAACACCTTCAAAGAGAACCACTCATCTCAGCTGGAAGTTTACTCCTGTGGACTTCAGTCCCCCTCCTCTTGGCTTGGCAGTGACTCAGAGCTCCGTTTACTTTCTTACTACACTTCCTGATAGAAGATGTGACACAGCGCACTTGTTACCCGGCAAAACAGACTTGTCAGGTTTAAGGAAAAGAGCAAAAACCCCTCTGGGCTCCAGCATCTAGCGCAGCAAAAGCAGCCTCCTATGCACTGCTTATTACTTGTCTGGCTATAGGCATACAAGCACAAACCATAAAGCTGCTGATAATCTCCTTATAGATACCGTGGCTAAATAAACTGCGTGTTCATCAAATGAAAGGGGATCTTTACAGTGCGTTTTTGGACTCAGTTGTTCAGGTTTTCTAGTTCCACATTTAGTTTTTTAACCTCCAGCAACAGCTTTTGTATTTCCAGCAGAATTTTCACTTCTGCTATAGGCACACCGCATTCGAAGGCTGCTTTAATGTAACGAACCTCTTCGCATACATCAGCATCACCATCCTTCTTCTGTCAGAAAGTAAAGCAGAACAAACAAAACCCAGGAAAAAAGGATGTAAAACTGCACTGCAGCAGATGGGAGCCAGCCGCTCCTCAGCTCGAGGCTGAACTGTCCCACTTGCCTCAACACAGACCCCATTCCTCACTGGTACCATCAAGCAAAAGCTTTTAAGAAGCTCAAGCAGTTCTTTTCCATACTAGATATCAAGCAATAACCACCCAGACCATGGTACTTACACACTTGGGCAATGGTGTCCAGTTGCCATCAGGCAAGCATGTGGCTGTCGAAGACATGTCTGAAAGGTGGTATCCCTGGAAGCATTCAAATGTAACAGTCTCATTTGTTTGGTACCACATTTTACCATCCAAAGTGCTATTCAGCCTTCCATTGGCCACGTGTGGTTGTGGACACAGAACTGAAAGGAAAACCCACAGCAGAAGGCAGCTCAGCAAGAGGCTCGTTGGTATGTAGAGAGAAAAAGACCCCACAAAGCTTGTGATGCCTGAGGCAGACCAAGTGGACCTGAATCTGTGAAGCCATGGAAACCAGATGTTAAAGCCAAGTTCCGTCCCCAGGCTCTTCAAGAGAGGGGGCAGATGGTCAGGACACATTGGTTGTTTTCTGTCTCAATTTGGCCATCCCCGTGCAAGAGGCTGCAGACATCTCTCAGTACAAATGCGCACTGAAGAGAAAGCCAACAACGATGGTGGCTCCTGACCTGCCTTAGAGCCTCCTTTGTACCTGAGCATCCAGAAGAAACCAGCCTGGTAAGCACCAGCTTTGAGAAGTTTGTTTCTTCTGCAGAGGGGAAGGCACTAGGGAAACCCTGAGGACAGACACAGGCACATGATGCTGCACCCCAAGCTCTCTGCACGCTGCTGGTACCCACCGGGCTGGCAGGAGGGCAGAGGAGGGTGCCAGGTGCTGTCAGCCAGGCACCGGCTCTCGGCATCACCACGCAGCACGAAGCCTTCGTCGCAGGAGAAGCGCACGACTGCTCCATAGGGAAACGTGAATCTCTCTGGAGCCATCCTGCCCCTCTCGACCACGGGCCTGGGGCACCGGACCACTGCGGGAGGAGAGCAGAGCGGTGGGTTTGGCTCTGCCCTTCCCCAGGGACAGCGGGGACCCAGGTCTGGTGGGGCAGAGCCACAGTTCCTGGTGCTCTCTGCATCAGTTTTATAGTCAGAGCCCCAATTCCTGACCATCTGATGGCCATCAAGGTAGGACAACCAGTGTCTCCTGTTTCCACATGGATCATCGCCAGTCCAGAACTGTCAAGCCTGTGAATAAGCCTACAAAGGAAGCAGGATCTCCCAGCAGCCCTGCTCGCTTTTAATCCCATTGAGTGCTAATTGCCCCCAGGTCCTGGCTTCAGTTTGGTCCCATACAAGAAAAAACAACTCACCCCTGCACTCCGGGGCAGGTTTGCTCCATGCCAAGCTCACCCCATCATCAGAGGTGCAGTAGATGGAGTCGTCCCCAATGAGGGACATACCCTCCACACATCTGTACTTCACTTCTGAGCCGTAGAGGAACAGCTCCGTTTTCAAGCTGGAGTGCTGCCCATTGGTGAGTTTTGGAGGGGGACCACAGGCTGTGGGAGAACAGGGAAAGGGAAGATGAAGATTTCCTTCATTTAGCAGGGAAATAACAGGAGAAGCCAGTTCTCGATATTTATACATCGGGTTGCTCTCCTTAAAGTCTTCCTCGCTTCTCGTCAGCACTGGCTCCACCAGTGTTCCCAGAGTGGCCCAGCTAGCCACCCCAACCCAGCACAGCACGTGTGCCAGCCTTCAGGCAACCTTCCCTTACCCCTCCTCTTCTCCATGAGGAACGATTCTGCTCCTAAACAGGGTCAGGGAACCGTGGGTATCATAAACCTCTTGAGCCCCCTCTGAGAAGTGGCTGCAAGTCCCATTCTCAACATACGTAATTCTAAAGCCATTTAATGATGTGACGTGGACCCCTTCTCCAAGAATCAATACTCAGGTGATTTCTTCACTGCTGCCCCTACCCTTGCAGAGATGCAGTTGCTGACACCCGCTGTTGGCGCTCACCTTTGTCGCAATATGGCACAGGGGGTCTCCAAGTCCCATCAGACCAGCACTGGATCCTCTGGCTGCCCCTCAGCACGTAGCCATGCTCGCACTGAAGTTCCACCTGCTGCCCAAAGGTGTATTCATCTTTCCTAGGACTGATTTCCCTCCCGTGTTGGATATCCGGGCTGGGACACTGCACCTCTGAGGAACACCAGCATCAGAAAGAGTTTCCATAGATGGGGTCAGGAGGGAAGAGCAGGAGACATTCACAGGGAGGTGTTTTCCCATAGCAGTGGCCTGCAGACCTAAAGAACTTGCCAGGCAGCCTGTTAATGCTGACAGGCGTCTCTAACCAGGCCTGGCATGCTCAGGGATGGCAATTATGTGATAACAGCCATTCCTCTTGGAAGGCAGAATGATCCAAGCCCTGTAATTAGCTATAAATTGTGCTGAAAGGATGAGACATTACGAGCTGCATCACTGTTTGAACAGCTAAATAATCAGTGGGAGTTGCAGCTATTTCTTCCCAGCCATGCTACCCATTGAACAGCAAGCTGATCAGCAGTGAGAGCCAAAGATCTGCTCAATAAAGCCCTTATGGCACGGCAGCACTAGTGGGTGTTCTGGAAATGATGTTGTGACCGCATCATTAAATTGATGCAAAGGCAATGGTGTACTTACCCTGGCAAAGCCTTGGGATCGTGGTCCATGTGAGATTTTGAAGACAAGTGGTTACTGGAGATACTCCAGGGAGCAAAGTATAGCCGGGTCTGCAGGAGTAGGTCACGGTTGTCCCAACTGGAAACTCGCGCTGAAGGTTTCGCTCCGTGTGGTCAATGACAGGAGGGTAGGAACAGTGACCTGGTGCCGGAGTAAGGGACAACATTGACCCTCAAAGCTGGGGGTGAGGCTGAGCCCTGCCTGGGGGATCCCAGTCTGTCCCTTGGGCACTGGTGGAACCACAGAAAGAAGCCAAGGGACAGCAGCAGGAGCATCGCACAGAGCAAAATATAATGAGACAAATTCACCAAAGGATGGACAGCAGCGGCTGCAGAACAGCCCTGCCGTGTCACCCAGGGGCGATGGAAGAGCAGAGAGGACCCCTGCCCCAAAGGTGGGGCAGCGCAGCTCGCTGTGGTACCACCGTGCAGCCCCGCTCCTGCACACGCTTTCAGTGAAGGACAAGCAGGTGATGGCCCGTGGGACACAAGGTAAGGAGCAAAGGGATCTGTGCGTACCTGGGATGCAGCTGGGCACCCGTGGGTACCATCTGCCGCTGGCCAGGCACCGCACCGTGCTGGTGGCTCCCAGGGGCACGTAGCCGGGGTCGCACGTGAGCGTGGCTGTGCTGCCCGAGGTGAAGTTCCATGCAGGTCCCAGCTGTCCATGGGTGATATCTGGGACGGGGCACTGAGCCTCTGCGGATCACAGAGTCACAGCACAGTTTGGGTTGAAGGAAGCTTAAAGCTCATCCAGCTCCAACCCCTGCCACAGGCAGGGACCCCTTCCACTGGAGCAGCTTGCTCCAAGCCCCTGTGTCCAACCTGGCCTTGAGCACTGCCAGGGATGGGGCAGCCACAGCTTCTCTGGGCACCCTGTGCCAGCGCCTCAGCACCCTCACAGGGAAGAGGTTTTGCCTAAGAGCTCATCAGGGTGTTCTTACTAACTACAGCTGCAGCGACCAACTGTCAGTGCACCTTCATCTGGTAAGTAAGAGAAGACAGATCAGTTTAACAAATGCAGTGACTGAGGCTGATATTAGTGGTTCCTAAGTGTGCTTAAGCAGCCATCACCCATAGGACTTTAAACCTGTGTTTTTATCATTGTACACCATCAAATGCTATTCCTGACAGCACTTGCTCTAACAGCTACAACTCACCTGCATGCTGGGGTGGGTGACTTCAGAGCCCTGGCAGCCACTTCCAGCATCACATCTGCACTGGTCCATGGCAGGACTGCTGATGCTGCCTTTGGTACCACTACCCACAGAAAGAGCATGTCTCTACTCATAAGTGCCTTCCCCAGGCCCCAGCTTAGGTATCAGCACACCCCTGGCAATGCTGAGGTTTGGAAAATGGACTGAGAAGCATCATGAAGTAGAAACAGATGATAATATCTAACAATAAATAGGGTGCAAAGGTGGTGCTGGCAGGAGGGGGCTCTGCAGGGAGGCACTGGGGTGGGCTGTGCATCCTGGCAAGTGTCTCAAATGGCTTATTTTTAAAGGAACTGTCAAGTTCGAGACAGAAACAGGGTTATTCCTCTTCCTAGAGACATTAGTCAGCAAACACCCACGTCTCCTGTGGGTAGGGTGACAATTCACCAGCTACCTTCTGTGCGGCTGTCGGTTGCCCCAGGGCATAAGCATCAACCGGGGTATCAACCTGCTACCACTCAGACTGCCAGATACAGCCTTTGTCATGAAAAACTAAGTATTACCTGTCTAACTGACTCTCCCCATCTTACCACCACCTTTGCCTTGAGCTCCAGGCTGGAAGGGCATCTCCGACCCTGGGAACTACTTCTCATCTACTGCATGGGTGCTCAAGGCAAAGGGTGGTATGCTCCCTGCGACACAAGGTCTGAACTCCAGAAGAGGCTCTGCAGCAGAGAGACCTGGCCCTGCACTGCCCCAGGGACAAGCTCGTGGCCTCCAAGCCAGCCGTACCCAAACACCAGTCCCTGGAAGATTCGTAGCCCAGTTTAAGGCTTTTGAAGAGCACTGGGAATTTGCAGTGGTGGGTCAAGAGGAGCAGCTAAAGAGGAGAAAAGGGCAATTAGCAGCAACCAGTGACCTCAGATCATCCCTACAAGAGCATCAGGTACAGGCAGAGCGTAGCAGCGACTTCAGCCGGGGGAAGGGCTCCTGCTGAGTTTTACCAGCCCACTCACGGCATAGCTGATCCGTAGGCAAAGCTGAGCCCCAGAAGCAAAGCAAACAAGAGGAGGAACACTCACCGAGACTCCCCGCCGGCTGCAGCACAAGCACCACCGCTGCCAGGAGATGCCCCAGCCAGCAGAAGAGCGGCATGGTGAGACCCTTCCCAGCCGATAGCTGCTGCACTGCACTGGGGAAGGGGAAGTGGCTGTGGGAAGTTGGGGACAGGCCAGAGGAGCTGACGCTGCCACCCCCCAGCCCTTCTGACCTGCCCCAGGGGAGGGCGGCCCTCCCTGAGCTCGCCAGCAAGGATGTGCCACCAGAGAGGATGCGGCTGCTGCTGCTCTCCCCCATCCCTGGTGTGCTCAAGGCCAGGCTGGATGGGGCTTGGAGCAAGCTGCTCTAGTGGAAGGTGTCCCTGCCTGTGCCAGGGGCTGGAGCTGGATGAGCCTTCAGGTCCCTTCCAACACAAACCATTCCATGAGTCTTCCAAGGTGGGGACAATGGGAATAAAGCTGTTTTACAGATAGAACAGCGTTGCAGCATTCCGGCTTCCTTCTGGTGCTCTAAGGGCAATGCTGCACGTTCACTTTGCCTCTTCATCCTGGTGGTAGGCAGGGGTGGGGAAGGCAGCCCTCTCTATGCCTAGCCAAGCAGTGATTATTGAAGCACCTCTTTCTTTTCCTACAAGTAAGACGATTATTAAAAGCCAGACATAGCTGTCATTGCAATTGCAGTTTTATTATGATCTCGTGGAAGGAGCACTGCTTGGATCACAAGATGCCTGCTTACAGAGTGCTTCCCCTTTACTGGAGGCTGCAGAAAAGATTCAGCCATTTCTCTATGCTTTGCTTTCCCCCAGCTGCTCTTGGAGCACACACAAAGATGCAGCAAGCGGCACCGCTGTGGCCTCGGATCCATCTGTCCCACTTGGGAAGGAAGCCTGGCATTTTTGCTTGGATTCGAGGCATCCTCCATTGGGCCTGCTCTGAAAGTCATCGCTCATCAGGCAGGTAAGTGCTTGTCCACAATAATGAATGCAGCATATATGAATGGAGGAGCAACGGGCTCGACTGGGTTGCAGGGGGTTGTGAGGTGAGTGCGAGTTGGTGGCTCTGACCATGTCCATGTCCCTACAGCATCGGCTTGGCTCCCACAGGGATTTACTTTTCCTTCAGCTCCTTTCTAACTGAGCCCTCATCAGTATAGCAAACATAACTAAAATGCATAAAGTGATGCAGAAACCTAACAGAGTGATCTCTAACAGAATGAACCACAAATGGGAACTTTCTGACTCCCCGTATGGCCAAAGGGTCAAAGTTCCTTGACTGATTACTTGAATATTAGCACAAATTACAAAGTTGTAAAGAAACCCTCAGTGAGAATGATTGTTCCTCATGCAAAGAGAACAGTTCTTATGATACCAGTGGTGACAGTCAGCCATGCGCTGTGGTTCTTAGCTCCTTTTCAAGCTTCTGGATCTCCAGGTACAGTTTCTGGACTTCCAGCAGAGTTTTCAGTTCTGCCAGAGAAACTCCACACTGGAAAGCTTCCCTGTTTCGAAGGATCTTCTCACACGTATCATGCTTTTTCTTTAAAAGAACCGGAAGAAAGACAAGGCGTGACATGGCTTCAGGGAGCCAGGGCTCAGCATCTCCCTCCCACCCCAGCCCCAAACCAGCCACATTCGTGAGCTTGGACCACTGCTAAATGGGGAAGATACAGACAAAGCCTGGGCAGATGGGCGGGAGCTTGAGCAACCTGCTCCATGGAAGGTGTCCCTGCCCCTGGCAGGGGTTGGAACTGGATGAGCTTTAAGGCCCCTTCCAACACAAACCAGTCTGGGATGACACTTACACAGGTGGGTGGTGGTACCCAAGTGCCATTAGGCGAGCAGGTAGTTTCTGAACTTGAGGTTTGACGGCCATCACGCTTGCAGAAGTAGACCAGAGTTTCATTCACATTATACCACATCTTCAGTGTGTAAATCACAAGGTCCTCCTGTCTCAAGGGCTGAAAACACTGAACTGAAAGGAAAATGCATGCCAAAAGAAGAGATGTAGTGGGAGGAGAAAACACCCGGCAAATCCCAGCTGCTGCTGGTGATTCAGAGGAGCAGCACCCCTGGTCTGGGCAAATGGGGCTGGTACCCACCGGGCTGGCAGGAGGGCAGAGGAGGGTGCCAGGTGCTGTCAGCCAGGCACCGGCTCTCGGCATCACCACGCAGCACGAAGCCTTCGTCGCAGGAGAAGCGCACGACTGCTCCATAGGGAAACGTGAATCTCTCTGGAGTCATCCTGCCCCTCTCGACCACGGGCCTGGGGCACCGGACCACTGCAGGAGGAGAGCAGAGCGGTGGGTTTGGCTCTGCCCTTCCCCAGGGACAGCGGGGACCCACGTCTGGTGGGGCAGAGCCACAGTTCCTGGTGCTCTCTGCATCAGTTTCATACTCAAACACCAGGACTGACCCTCAGGTGCCTGCAGCAGCCCCCAAGGGGACCCCACCAGTCCCTGGTGTTACTGTGGTGCCAAGACCTTTGCACAGGAGCCAGA